ACACATACACACATATATATATATGCACATATATATATATACATATACACACATCTTGCATGTATGTGTACATATGCATACAATCATGTACATACCCACACGCACACATACTCGAACCCTAAATGCGGATATCAGCAGTCGCATGATTTGACTTGACACACTCCACCCTCCAGCGTCCTGAGGACCTATGCACTAAACTCTGCACCTCAAACCCTGAACCGCCGTTGAACCCATGCCCTTCACTCTACACCGCAAGCAGATGGTCAGCAGTCTGCAGATGCGCACACACACACACAGTCATATCCCAGTCGAAGCTCTAGATTGTGAGCTTGCGAGCAAGACATGCACGGCGGACCTAAACTATGTTGAAGACCGAGGTCAGCTGAAGCATCCGCGTGCCTACCGCAGCTTCCCAAACAGTCTAGGGTGGGGGGAAGGGTGGGGAAGGAACAGAGGGACCGGGATGAAGTTTAAGGTCTAGGGACTTGACTGAACCACTGCTTGAGATTTAATTGAAGCTTACTTAGTCTTTGGTCTAGGAGTCTCTGAAGAGCCACCGGTGACAGTATTAGGAAGGTGGTTGGGAACCACAACAAATTTGTCTGGAATTCTTCGTCTGAGATTCGCATCTGCTGATCTTCAACCCGAAGACAGCCGCTACATGTCTGAGCTGCCTCAACCTGAAGTTGGAGATCGTACCCTAACCCCCCAGGTACCTACTATATAGGGTATTTGCGCCCCTAGGGCCCTATATAGTAGGTACCTGGAGGGTTTGGGGTAGAACCCCAAAGAAAAAAGTCCTGCCTCCAACCGAACAAAAGATCCGAAGGGCCCAGAAGCTGGGCACTATTCAGGGCCGTACGACGGTAGAGTCCATCGATTGTGCTGGTCGTTAATGTGGGACGTGTGGTTTGATTTTCCTATATATTATGTTTATATTTATGTTTCTCATTTATTTATGTATTTATATATCTTCTTGGTGGGTCCTTCAAGAACACCCTGAAACACGGATTCACCTTCAGTACCCTTGGGGGTTTTAGGATATCTGTGCAGTACTTGGCATTGGGGTAGTCACTGTCGTGATTGCCTTCAGAATCGCCTCGGAAGGTCCAAAAAAGAAGCACCCGATCTTCATCCTTCATTTGCCCCAACCACCGAAGCTTCCTTGTCAAGGTATCCTGGAAGATCAATATAATTCTCGTTCTCGTGAAGATATGTACAGCTGAGCAAACGCAAAGAGGGGGTTCCCCCTAGGAAGGGATTGCAACAGCTCGATACCTTCTGGCAACGCCTCATCAACTATGAGCATGTGGTTGCTAGCAATGCTCGCCGCTTGCACCGTGAAGTACACTATCACCTGCCATCTTCAGGACTTAACACGAAGTTTCCTCGACAGAATTCTCCGTTGTGTACTAAGGAAAGGCAAGTGAGCCACGTCGCACTGGCGGCTTCGTCGAACTGCTGTTGTGGCGAGTAAAACCGAAGTGCGACTGCTAATGGGGCCGAGACTGTACGGCTTTTTGGGCTTATGGTTTAGCGGTAGCCCCACAACGTGATTATAGTTTCCCTACATATGTCAGCAAACGGTAGGGAGTTTGGGCCATTGGTATTGTTCAGGGCTTTGGCTGTTTGCTGAGGTTGCCCTTAACGTGCCTGAGCCTCTATGCAAGCACCGGAAGTTCGGCCCTTTACACCGCATTTCCTATTCCTGAGCGTAAGACCATGAGCACATGTGTCAGTTCCTCTCCAGGTCCAGCGATGTTTAGAAGCCTCCAGATGCCCTTATTCGTCGCAGAATGCTGAGAGCGGGAGAGACCGAGGGTTGGACAGAGAGAGAGAGAGAG